TATTGAGGACGATTGAAACTTATTTCAGACTCCATTCTGAGCTGCGATCGAAGCTATATTTTGAGCTTGATTTGGTCTACGATTAAAGATAAATTGTGACATTCTGGTCTGCTATTGAGGATAAATTACGACTACATTCAGAAAAGCGACTGAAGCTAAATTGTAACAAATTTCGGAGTAGAGATTAAGCTGCAATTGAAGCTAAATGCAAACAACATTCTAAGAGAGCAGAGATGGTGCAATGACTGGATACGAATTGTGACTAAATTCTGAGCTGCGACTTAGGATAAACAGAGACAATATTCTAGACAGAGATTGTGACATAATCGAAGCTAAATTAAGACTAAATTTGACTAAAGATTGAAGATAAAACGATTCTGAACTATAATTGAAGCAAAATTGAAACATCATTTGACCTACAATTGAACTTAATTTTGACAACAATTAGACTTACGATTAGAACTAGATTATGGCTGCATTCTAAACTATGATTCGAGCAACATTATATCCGATATCGGACTTAATATACAACAAATATTTTGGCAAAATTCTTGCCAACGTAATGCCAAATTTGATTTATGATTATATATAAGTTTTTTTTGGTACTTTTAACAAATATTACCCACAATTAAACGTATCAATATGTATGTATTTTAATTATTGTCTTTCACTTAAATACTACCTTTTGCCATTTACCTTTATTGACTTCCGTTCCGTTTATTTTATTTAGTAAAAAACCACACCACATATTTTTTTTAAAGAAAGCTACAAAGCGTTTTTTTATTTATTCGTTAAATACGTGTTTATATATCGTTACGATTATTTTACCTTAAAATCTACTTAACAAAAAAGCGGCAACGTTTAATTTGGAAAAAAGCGAACTCGCTTAAACACAATTTAAATAAAATTATAAAAAAAAAAACGCGAAAAAAAACTTAAGTGTATTTCGAAAAATCGCGATTTGTATTTTGTTTATCGTCAATATCGGCATTGGCAGCGGTAGAACTGCCACGATTTTGATTTTCGAGTAGCTGAGAGAAATATTTTATATAAGTTAACATAATAAATAATTAAAAAAAAGAAGAAAAATTGGACTTACCTTAGTGCGTAAACGTTTAATGCTGCGTAGACGTTCCAACCAGTTGGAAGCATAGGGATTTTTCTTTTGTAAACTTTGATAAACATTTGAAGCCAGCTGTAATGTAAAAGATATGAATATTTTTGTTAAATTGTCTTCTTTAAGTATAAAGATTTGTTTTAACTTACATTAGCGTGCAAAGCCAATTGCCGGGCTAATAGAGGAGCACTTTTATCGGACACAATTTTCGGTCCGGGATGACAAACAAAATCAGCTATTTCGGGACGAGCCTTAACATAAATACGATTGGTGTTTAACTCCAAAGGCTCTACAATAACACAGGCATAACTGAATTGACCCTGTAAAAGAATTAAAAAACCTCTGTTTAAGAACTAGAACTGAACTAGAACTGAACTAGAAGAACTAACTGAACTGAACTAGAACTGACTAGAACTGAACTAGAACTGAACTAGAACTGAACTAGAACTGAACTAGAACTGAACTAGAACTGAACTAGAACTGAACTAGAACTGAACTAGAACTGAACTAGAACTGAACTAGAACTGACTAGAACTGAACTAGAACTGAACTAGAACTGAACTAGAACTGAACTAGAACTGAACTAGAACTGAACTAGAACTGAACTAGAACTGAACTAGAACTGAACTAGAACTGAACTAGAACTGAACTAGAACTGAACTAGAACTGAACTAGAACTGACTAGAACTGAACTAGAACTGAACTAGAACTGAACTAGAACTGAACTAGAACTGAACTAGAACTGAACTAGAACTGAACTAGAACTGAACTAGAACTGAACTAGAACTGAACTAGAACTGAACTAGAACTGAACTAGAACTGAACTAGAACTGAACTAGAACTGAACTAGAACTGAACTAGAACTGAACTAGAACTGAACTAGAACTGAACTAGAACTGAACTAGAACTGAACTAGAACTGAACTAGAACTGAACTAGAACTGAACTAGAACTGAACTAGAACTGAACTAGAACTGAACTAGAACTGAACTAGAACTGAACTAGAACTGAACTAGAACTGAACTAGAACTGAACTAGAACTGAACTAGAACTGAACTAGAACTGAACTAGAACTGAACTAGAACTGAACTAGAACTGAACTAGAACTGAACTAGAACTGAACTAGAACTGAACTGAATAGAACTGAACTAGAACTGAACTAGAACTGAACTAGAACTGAACTAGAACTGAACTAGAACTGAACTAGAACTGAACTAGAACTGAACTAGAACTGAACTAGAACTGAACTAGAACTGAACTAGAACTGAACTAGAACTGAACTAGAACTGAACTAGAACTGAACTAGAACTGAACTAGAACTGAACTAGAACTGAACTAGAACTGAACTAGAACTGAACTAGAACTGAACTAGAACTGAACTAGAACTGAACTAGAACTGAACTAGAACTGAACTAGAACTGAACTAGAACTGAACTAGAACTGAACTAGAACTGAACTAGAACTGAACTAGAACTGAACTAGAACTGAACTAGAACTGAACTAGAACTGAACTAGAACTGAACTAGAACTGAACTAGAACTGAACTAGAACTGAACTAGAACTGAACTAGAACTGAACTAGAACTGAACTAGACTGAACTAGACTGAACTAGAACTGAACTAGAATTGAACTAGAATTGAATCTAGAACTGAACTAGAACTGAACTAATCTAGAACTTTGATTTCATTCTACTTACCGATATTGTATTAAGATTATATTCCTCTCCACTTTCGTTGTATACTATATTAACATAATCGTTGCCAATGTGTTTCTTTTTCTCATTACAATTGGGATCACTGTTAAGTTTGGTAGGCATTAAAGTGGCCACATGAAAGGTTACCTAAACGAAAACAAAAAGCTCGTAAAAAACTCTTAATTTAACGGCAATCAAATCCACTTTTTTGCTCCAAATTACCTGTACAATATCATCTTTCCATATATAGGTAAATTTACCATCTGCCCCATCTGTGGCCAAGGTCACAAACAAATTATTTTGCGCCGCTTCTTTCAAACTAACCAAAGTGCCAATACTGCGCAAGAATTCCACATATCTGGTACTGCCATGTGAGTTGCGCAAAATCTCCACGACATTATTGCACTGACCCTGGCCTACATATAAAACGCCTATATTGTGAGTTTCAAAGGGTGGTGCCAAATCCAGCAGGTTAACTGCACTCATTTGTTCTGGTGGCACTTTAATTAGGCACATCGGTAACCTGCATTTGTCCAGTGTGATATAGCTGCATGAATACAAAACTGGGATTCATGCAGAGTTTGGTATTAAGTTGTGGTTTAGTGGCACCAAAACGAGAGAAGGCTGTAGTGGGTGGTCGGGATTTACCATTATTAACTTCTCTTACCACGGAAATGGTTTTGGAGCGTCCACGCATTTCTCCATTGTTGTAATCATTATTTTGATTAGGTCCTCCTTGGGAGGAGGACATATTGGAATTGTTGCCACCACTGCTGGATTTGGCTAGTCCCTGATGATAACCAAAAGAAGTGGATTTAATGGCTGGAGCATGTTGTTTCTCCATGCGTGGTGAATGTTGTGGTGCTGGTGATAAAGGAGGCTTGGCCACTATTTTCTCTTCTCCTTGTGCGCCAGTGCCGGTAGATTTCAATGAAGTGGCTGAGGCAGATTGTTGCACTAGGGGCTGTGTAGTAGCAGATTTCTGGCTAACATCATCTGCCGATAATTGTTTGGGTGGCAATGTTAAAGTTTCGGGTGCTTTAAGTGTTGCATCAGATTTGTTGCTTTGTTGTGGTGGTGTGGAACCGGCTATTTCCTCTGGTATGGCCTCACAGCTTACCTTGCTGTATTGTACACTTTTCTTCTTTTGCTGTTGCAATTGCTGCTGATGTTGTGCTGGCAATTCGGATTCGTTGGAAAGTTCAGTTGCTCCTGCCGTTTCTTGTGATAAGGGCGCTGGTTTATTCATTAGGAAAGTATTGCGCCAGCTAGAAGACATTTCTGGACTGGAGTTTACCCTTCTTACCGGTTTTCTAGCACGCATTTGTCCTCCTTCAATGGCCAAATATTCCTCATCGGCCTCACCATCACTAACACTGCCGCATAAGGCTTCTTTACCACGTTTTCCAGCTGCTGTCATTTTGGGTATATCTATGGCTTGGGTACCAGCCACTGCTTGGGCCGAGGAAGATATTTCCTCTTGTCTTTGTAAGGCTCTAGTTTTGGACACTGTTTTAGGTCTTTCTTCCAAAGACTTAGTCATGCTTAGTTCATGTTTAAGAGTTTCATTCTGTACGGTTTCCTTGATTTCTTTGGACACTGCATTAATTTCTTCCAAATTTTCTGGTTGCAAGAAATCCGGACCAAATACTCCACCATGTTGAGTGGGCAAGAATAGCGAAACCATGCTACTAAAGGGTACATCATAGCCAAAACAATCATTCGATAAAGGATTTTGTATGCGTGTTATCCAGGAAATGTTACCAGTAGGACGTCTTATTAAAATCTCCGCCCAGGCAGTGCAGGAACGCACACATATCGGAGAGGCACACACGCTAGAGGAAGACAAGGAATTGCCCAACAAAGAAGTACAACTACCACCTCCTACCCCACCCGCAGTGCTGCCTACACCCAAATCTGTACTACCGGCCTCTGGGTTAGAACCTCGTCGCGATAAAGCTTCTAAAGAAGCGGTTGAACTATTGGAAGTTTGTCTTTGTGTAGTGTGTGAGGTCGAAGAAGAGGATGAGGTAAATCTGTGCTACCAGCCGACTTCATTACCACTGCTGTGCTGCAAAGAGACTTTGGTATAACGATGTTCATAGGTTGGAGCACCTTGGGTGTGATTAATTTCCGGCGAAATGGGTGTTGTACCAGGGATTAGTGTCAGTGCTATTTTTAGGACTTAAAGTGTAAGCTTTACCCAGCTGAGCGCAACGATCGCAAAGGCCATTACGTGTTGGGCCTGAGGGACAACCCGAGGTGGTTATGGTTACCAGATTATGGCCAACTAACCAGGTTTGAGAGTGGCCATCTTTGAGAAGATATTCCACAGCGGGAAGTCTAGGGGAAGAGATTTTCAATTTAGGTTTCAACTTAAAAACTACGTTTTAGATAAAAAAAGACGAATATTCAACTAATCACTGAAATTTCTATTATTCGAATCATCGAATGTTCGACGATCTACCGAATATTCGTCAATTAACCAAATAATCGACTATTCACGGAAAATTCGTCTATTAATCGAATCGGTTATTCGCCAAATCGAATCGGTTATTCACCAAATATTTGACTATTCGCTAAATATTTGACTATTTACTGAATGTTCCATTATTCAATGGAAATTAGACTTTTCACCGATTATTCGACTATTCACAGAATATTCGACTATTCACAGAATATTCGACTTTTCAGCAAATATTCGATTATTCAACTATTAATCGAATATTCGAATTCACAAAATATCAAAATTTGACTCAAAATTCAAAATTTCACTGAAAATTTTAAATTTCACGAAATATCTAAAATTCACTAAAAAAAAAGAAAATTTTACTAGAAATTAAAATTTTCTATAAAAATTTAATTTCATATTACAAATTAAATAAGAATTGAAATTTCACTTAAAATTCAACATTTAACTAAAATTTTGAGTTTTCACTAAAAATATGAACTTTGACAAAAAAATTGATTTTTCACAAATTCCAAATTACCAAATTATTTTCACCAAAAAATTTAAATTTCACCTAAAATCAATTTTTTCACCAAAAAAATTCAAAATTTCACCAAAAACTCAAATTTTCACTAAAAATTTGAAATCTTCAAATTTCACTAGAAATACATTTTTCAAAAAAAGGTATTTTTTATCGAATCGAAATTTCACTAAAAATTCAATATTTCACTAAAAATCCTAGTTTTTTTCCTAAAAATTCGAATTTTTACTAAAATTTTTAATTTTCACTTAAAATTATTTTTTACTAAAAATTTGATTTTTCACTAAAAATTCAAAATTTTCGCTAAAAAATAAATTTTTCACCAAAAAATGTATTTTTCACTAAAAATTCGAAAATTCCTGACCTTTTGCCAAAAAATTAAAAACTTCGATATTTCACAAAAAAAAATTCACTAAAAATCGAAAAAAACCAAAATTTTCACTAGAAATAAAATTTAATTGAATAGTTTTTCACTAATTTTTTTTTTTTCTAAAAAATGTGTTTATTACTAAGAAACCAAAATTTTACCAAAAATTAAAAATTCGCCAAAAAATCAAAATTTCACCAAAAATCTACATTTCAGCAAAAAATTCAAATTTCACCAAAAATCCAACTTTCACCAAAAATCTACATTTCACTAAAACTCGTAAATCGTTAAAAAATAAATTTTTACTACAAATATTAAAATTTCACTTAAAAGTAAAATGAAAAAATTATTTTTTTTAAATCAGTATTTCACCAAAAAATCCAAGTTTTGCAAAAATATCTAAATTTCACTGAAAACTCGAAAATTTTAATACATATTTTAATTATTTAAAATATTACTCACCTTTTCGGCAAAGCCGAACATGGCGAAAAAGTATGACGAGCCAAGAAATCAATACAAGTCTCTGCCAATTCAGCATGGAAAGATTTCAAACCTTCATTCATTAGAGGACGCATTTCCGTATGATTACGGGCCGTTGCAGCCGCTGTATTACGACTACCACGTTCGGTTAAACTAGTACTACGTTTACGATTCGATGAGTCTTCATTTAAACTTTGGAAAATCTTGAATTTGTACATTGCGTGTTAAATTATTGATGTCCTCGTACAGCATGCTAGCATTGGATTGAATGGACTATAAGAAATCAACAAAACTATTAACAACCCATTCCCTAAAGCTAGAAGAAACTATCTGCAGCTTCTTACATTTATTATGTAATTAACACAATTTCTTCTCAACTCCATTTACATTTCAAAAACCAACCAGCAATAACATGATGAGCCAAAGAAACGACATAATGATGATAACGTCGAGGTTTCGTATAGGGCAAAGAGATGGCAAAAACATACATATACTGGCGTGAAGTAAAATTGGTGCACAAATCATTGGATAAGCGGCTAAGTACTGCAAAAGAGATTCTCTTTATAATATTTCAACTCTATTTTATTTATTTTTTCAAACTTACTCGATAAAAAATCCAATACCGGTATGGCCACCGTAGGTGTATCAGACATTTTTGACATTTGCAACAAAATATCCGGTAACTTACGCATTAATGCCTCGGGCATTTCCAATATGATGGTAGTCATGGTATTTATGCAAATAGTAGCTATAGTGGCTATACCACTGCCTATATTGGATATGCCCATTTTTAAAACTTCTATGATTTTATATTGATTAGAGGGCTGTAGATATTGATGGATAGATAACGAGACCCGCTATGGCGGGTAGTACTAGAGAGTTCAATTCATCTATGGTACACTTGTAGACTACATGAAGAGCTTTATTACTTTCGGATATAGTTTTAAAAAGTGCAGCAGCTAGAGACTCGATATCATTGCCTTGTATTAGGGCCTTATTTTGCATGACCTTGGGAAGTTCTTTGATGACCAATTGGAAGATTTGAAAATCTGTAAAAAGTGAAAGGCAATTAGGGAAATATAAATGAGACATTCTGATCTACGATAAATGCTAATCTACAATTTCATAGTTTAATTCACCTCTATCTTTTTCCAAACACTTGACAATCGTTTCACAAGCTCTCTTTATGGAAATCGTAGTAAAATGAGCATTTGGCACAACATCATGATTAGACTGCGACATAATCGAATGACGTTGATGATGATGACTTATATCATGGACTGGCAAATTAGAATCTATGCCCAAATAATAGCTAAACTTGATGTTATCATTATTAGTAGGATCAGGATAACCAATATGATAAGAAGCATTAGCACGGGCCCTTAGCATCCAGCAAAAGATCTTGTTGAAGAAAAAAAAACACAATAAATTATAAAGATAATGAACAAATTGATCAATTATTGTAGAAACATACCTTATATCTCACAATATTAACTTGTTCAAACACTTTGGGATATTGATAATGCAACTCCAGGTGACCCACTAATATATTGAATATTTTAATGGCATGACATGAGGGCAAACGATAGAGTTTGATAACAAACACCTCTATTAAACCATCCACAGCAGTTATAACATCTTGTATTTCTTGTTCTGTCTTAATATCGGTACCATATTGTTTGTGCATTTCATAGGGACGATTAATGATCTTTTCTAAAATATCCAATAATTCACCACAACGTTTGGTATCACAATGGCGTGTGAAATCAATTAAAGCATCAGCTACTGCTCTCCTTAGCTGGACATCTGTCTCATTGCAAACGTGGGTAAACAAAGGAATAACCACACGTTCTAAAATTTCCTCTTCATAGCAGGAACGATTTAAATCCATTATATTGACCAGAGACTGTATAACCTTTATGCGTATGGGTGTATTTGACATTTTATAGAAACGTTGTACAAAAGTATTAAGCAATAGTAACCATTCTGGTCGGGTAGCTGTTATCTTTGAAGATCTATAATCGATTAAAAGTAAGACCGAAGATTCGGGTCTACTTTCAGCTACGCGTTCAATTAAATCATAAATACGTTCATAATTGGCCAGAATTTTAGTTTTATCATCCTCCAATAGTTTCTCAATGAACGATATATTCTCATGTAAATGATTTTAAGTTGTAACAAACTATCAGTGGTGGTGGAGAAACTCTCATAATATTCTATATTATCCACAATTGCTGACATTATATCACATATACGATCCCATATAATTTCGGGTAGTTCCGATTTATATTTAGTTATAACTATGTAAATGCCAATTATAACCTCATAAGTGACACTAACATGACGACTATCCAGAGCCTGAGGATAAAAGAAATTGGTCAAGATTTCCTTAAGGATCCACTCTATTACTTACCCTTAGAAAACTGTTTAGAACCATGGAGGCATAAAACAGAGGTGAAACTTGAAAGACCATGGGCGCTCCAAAAATATTCATATTTAGATGAAAAACTGCACCTCTTAGCAGAAAATTATCCTTCATCGAGGGTACGATCATTTAGAATGTTACACATCATTTTCATCGAATGATAACCCAACTCAGTGCCCAAGAGATTTTTCATGATCTGAAAGAGATATAATGGGAGGGTTATAAAAGAATCATATAATTTAGCAGAAAGAAGCTAAATTTTGCCTAGACTATAGACTAGACTATAGACTAGACTATAGACTAGACTAGACTATAGACTAGACTATAGACTAGACTATAGACTAGACTATAGACTAGACTATAGACTAGACTATAGACTAGACTATAGACTAGACTATAGACTAGACTATAGACTAGACTATAGACTAGACTATAGCACTAGACTATAGACTAGACTATAGAGACTAGACGATAGACCTAGGACTATAGACTAGGACTATAGACTAGACTATAGACTAGGACTTATAGACTAGACTATAGGACTAGACTATAGACTAGACTATCGACTAGACTATAGACTAGACTGACTAGACTAGACTACTAGACTAGACTATAGACATAGACTACCTATAGCCTAGACTATAGACTATGACTATAGACTAGACTATAGACTAGACTATAGACTAGACTATAGACTAGACTATAGACTATAGACTATAGACTAGACTATAGACTTACTAGAGACTATACTAGACTTAGACTAGGACTATAGACTAGACTATAGACTAACTATAGGACTAGGACTATAGGACTAGACTTACTAGACTAGACTAAGACTAGACTATAGACTAGACTATAGACTAGACTATAGACTAGACTATAGACACTAGACTATAGACTAGACTATAGACTAGACTATAGACTAGGACTATGACTACTAGACTAGACTATAGACGAGACTATAGACTGACTATAAGACTAGACTATAGACTAGACTATAGACTAGACTATAGACTAGACTATAGGACTAGACTATAGACTAGACTATAGACTAGACTATAGACTAGACTATAGACTAGACTATAGACTAGACTATAGACTAGACTATAGACTAGACTATAGACTAGACTATAGACTAGACTATAGACTAGACTATAGACTAGACTATAGACTAGACTATAGACTAGACTATAGACTAGACTATAGACTAGACTATAGACTAGACTATAGACTAGACTATAGACTAGACTATAGACTAGACTATAGACTAGACTATAGACTAGACTATAGACTAGACTATAGACTAGACTATAGACTAGACTATAGACTAGACTATAGACTAGACTATAGACTAGACTATAGACTAGACTATAGACTAGACTATAGACTAGACTATAGACTAGACTATAGACTAGACTATAGACTAGACTATAGACTAGACTATAGACTAGACTATAGACTAGACTATAGACTAGACTATAGACTAGACTATAGACTAGACTATAGACTAGACTATAGACTAGACTATAGACTAGACTATAGACTAGACTATAGACTAGACTATAGACTAGACTATAGACTAGACTATAGACTAGACTATAGACTAGACTATAGACTAGACTATAGACTAGACTATAGACTAGACTATAGACTAGACTATAGACTAGACTATAGACTAGACTATAGACTAGACTATAGACTAGACTATAGACTAGACTATAGACTAGACTATAGACTAGACTATAGACTAGACTATAGACTAGACTATAGACTAGACTATAGACTAGACTATAGACTAGACTATAGACTAGACTATAGACTAGACTATAGACTAGACTATAGACTAGACTATAGACTAGACTATAGACTAGACTATAGACTAGACTATAGACTAGACTAGACTATAGACTAGACTAGACTATAGACTATAGACTATAGACTAGACTAGACTAGACTATAGACTAGACTAGACTATAGACTAGACTAGACTATAGACTAGACTAGACTATAGACTAGACTAGACTAGACTATAGACTAGACTATAGACTAGACTATAGACTAGACTATAGACTAGACTATAGACTAGACTATAGACTAGACTATAGACTAGACTATAGACTAGACTATAGACTAGACTATAGACTAGACTATAGACTAGACTATAGACTAGACTATAGACTAGACTATAGACTAGACTATAGACTAGACTATAGACTAGACTATAGACTAGACTATAGACTAGACTATAGACTAGACTATAGACTAGACTATAGACTAGACTATAGACTAGACTATAGACTAGACTATAGACTAGACTATAGACTAGACTATAGACTAGACTATAGACTAGACTATAGACTAGACTATAGACTAGACTATAGACTAGACTATAGACTAGACTATAGACTAGACTATAGACTAGACTATAGACTAGACTATAGACTAGACTATAGACTAGACTATAGACTAGACTATAGACTAGACTATAGACTAGACTATAGACTAGACTATAGACTAGACTATAGACTAGACTATAGACTAGACTATAGACTAGACTATAGACTAGACTATAGACTAGACTATAGACTAGACTATAGACTAGACTATAGACTAGACTATAGACTAGACTATAGACTAGACTATAGACTAGACTATAGAGACTATAGACTAGACTATAGACTAGACTATAGACTAGACTATAGACTAGACTATAGACTAGACTATAGACTAGACTATAGACTAGACTATAGACTAGACTATAGACTAGACTATAGACTAGACTATAGACTAGACTATAGACTAGACTATAGACTAGACTATAGACTAGACTATAGACTAGACTATAGACTAGACTATAGACTAGACTATATAGACTAGACTATAGACTAGACTATAGACTAGACTATAGACTAGACTATAGACTAGACTATAGACTAGACTATAGACTATACTATAGACTAGACTATAGACTAGACTATAGACTAGACTATAGACTAGACTATAGACTAGACTATAGACTAGACTATAGACTAGACTATAGACTAGACTATAGACTAGACTATAGACTAGACTATAGACTAGACTATAGACTAGACTATAGACTAGACTATAGACTAGACTATAGACTAGACTATAGACTAGACTATAGACTAGACTATAGACTAGACTATAGACTAGACTATAGACTAGACTATAGACTAGACTATAGACTAGACTATAGACTAGACTATAGACTAGACTATAGACTAGACTATAGACTAGACTATAGACTAGACTATAGACTAGACTATAGACTAGACTATAGACTAGACTATAACTATAGATAGAGACTATAGACTAGACTATAGACTAGACTATAGACTAGACTATAGACTAGACTATAGACTAGACTATAGACTAGACTATAGACTAGACTATAGACTAGACTATAGACTAGACTATAGACTAGACTATAGACTAGACTATAGACTAGACTAGACTAGACTAGACTAGACTATAGACTAGACTATAGACTAGACTATAGACTAGACTAGAGACTAGACTATAGACTAGACTATAGACTAGACTAGACTATAGACTAGACTAGACTATAGACTATAGACTATAGACTAGACTAGACTATAGACTATACTAGACTATAGACTAGACTATAGACTATAGACTAGACTATAGACTAGACTATAGACTAGACTATAGACTAGACTATAGACTAGACTATAGACTAGACTATAGACTAGACTATAGACTAGACTGACTAGACTATAGACTAGACTATAGACTAGACTATAGACTAGACTATAGACTAGACTATAGACTAGACTATAGACTAGACTATAGACTAGACTATAGACTAGACTATAGACTAGACTATAGACTAGACTATAGACTAGACTATAGACTAGACTATAGACTAGACTATAGACTAGACTATAGACTAGACTATAGACTAGACTATAGACTAGACTATAGACTAGACTATAGACTAGACTATAGACTAGACTATAGACTAGACTATAGACTAGACTATAGACTAGACTATAGACTAGACTATAGACTAGACTATAGACTAGACTATACTAGACTATAGACTAGACTATAGACTAGACTATAGACTAGACTATAGACTAGACTATAGACTAGACTATAGACTAGACTATAGACTAGACTATAGACTAGACTATAGACTAGACTATAGACTAGACTATAGACTAGACTATAGACTAGACTATAGACTAGACTATAGACTAGACTATAGACTAGACTATAGACTAGACTATAGACTAGACTATAGACTAGACTATAGACTAGACTATAGACTAGACTATAGACTAGACTATAGACTAGACTATAGACTAGACTATAGACTAGACTGTAGACTATAGACTAAACTAGACTATAGACTAGACTATAGATCTTACTATAGACTAGTATAAACTATACTATAGATAGTCTAGTGTGTATTGGTATTCTACCCAAAGATTGAAGGTAATTTGTGAATCTTCTGTAGGAGGATCACTATGAAATTTTCCCACAAGAAATATTTTAACCAAATTAAGCATTTTCTTAAGTGTAAAGTATTTTTGAAATTGTTTTATAAAAGCTCTTTCTAAAGCTTTTAACAGAAGCTTAATTTTAGCTTAAATGATGTATAACAGTGTTGGTAAGTAGCGATCTTAAAATAGTACTTAAATCTAACGGAAAAAAGTACTTTTTAAAAACGAAGATAAAAAACTTTTAAATATCAAATGCTGATATAAAAATCAGGCTATATATTCTTCAATATGTGTTGTCTTAAGCTTTTGTTAAGACAATTGTTATAAAATTAATTAAAAAAAATGAATTTAAAAAGCTTTGGGCTGACTTCCAAACGTACCAATACAAAGTTTGAATACAATTTTATTGCGGTATTTATATCTAGTACACATGTAAAGTTTCAAAACATTGCAACGATGCTTTGTTTATTTTCACGTTCTAAAATATAGAAGATGCAAAGTATTGTTTTTAGTAAATCAGCTGTTTGTGTAGTTTTAGCAAATAAGTTCAACAAGCATCAACTTTAAAACTGATGCTCTGATTGCCATATCGCTGCGTTTCTAATACTTGTCGATGACGTTTTGAAACAGTATGCATTGTCAATATTTGTACTGAGGCGTTATGAAACACTATACTTTGTTCGTACACAAAGCAACTGACGTTTTGGAAGTCAGCCTTGCTTTTTACATTTTTTAAAAAAGGTACTTTTACAAAGCTGGTAACACTACTTTAGCTTTTACTTAATTAATTAAGAGCGTTTTAAGAGAATCGGACAGCAAGCGATCACTTAAAAAGTTTTCAACAGCTGTTTATTATTGTTTTTTGTTATTTTTATTAAAAAGAATTATTGATAAGATTATAGAAAATATAGAAAAAAAAAAACAAAAGATCGCCACAAACTTAGTAGTTTGTAATGTGAAAATGTTGTAAAAAAAAAAATATTTAAATAAAACAAATTTAAACTACTCCATTAATCTATTAAATAACAAAACCCTGGTGGTGAAAAAAAAAGGTGATCTAAAGTGCTTTACAGGTGATTTAAAAAATACATAAAGGTAAATAAAATTGTAGACATGTGTATTAAATGAAACTATAGAAAAAGTCTAAAGAAATTAGCACCAAACTAGGTCGCCAGACTAAAAATATTCTAAATCGGCGTAAAATTAACTGCTGCAAACCGAAATTTCTTTAAGAATCTTCTTTTTAACCTATTTTTCCCCTTCCCCCAGATGTCGGAGCAGCGACGTGTACTATGCGTGGGTATGTGTGTTTTAGATATTATACATTTATGTGCTGAATATCCCCAGGAAGATACCGATAAACGTTGCCTAGATGGCTATTGGCAAAGAGGTGGTAATGCCTCCAACAACTGTACTGTTCTCAGTAAACTAGGGGCAAAGTGTGAATTCCTAGGAATGACTTCTTCAGCGCCGGCTTTTCAATTTCTCTACGAAGATTGTAAACAAAGAAATATAGTAATACAAAACTGTCCTAAGACCACAATGAATCCTCCTTTTTCTAGTGTATTACTAGTAAAAAGTAAAGGTACACGCACTATAGTTCACGCAAATACCGGATTTCCCATTTTAAAATATGAAGAATTTAAGAAAATAAATTTACATGACTATAGCTGGATTCATTTTGAGGGACGTAATGTGGAAGAAACTAAAGAAATGATTGAAATGATAAGAGAATACAATGAGAAACACAAAGAAAATCGAATAAAAATATCGGTAGAATTGGAAAAACTTAATAAAGATTTATACATATTAGCCATGCGCTCAGATTTGGTATTTGTGGGTAAAGATATAGCCCACCACATGGGCTGGTCTACGGCTAAAGAGGCTGTTTATAATTCTCAGAAAATTATTAACGATATGAAGTCTACAGAATCAGGGAGAAGTTGGCCTTTACAACAGATTATTTGCCCGTGGGGTTCTGAGTGTGCGGATGCTTTGGATGTTGCTACTAATGAATATTTTTCTTTGCCTGCTGTTTCAGTGAAGAGTATAGTTGATTCTTTGGGTGCTGGCGATACATTTGTGGCTGCAGTTATTTATGCTTTAAATATTTGCAAAAGAACTTAAAGCAGGCTGTGGAATATGGCAATCAAGTGGCTGCATTTATAAATACAGCACGAGGTTATGATTGTGTGGAGAATTTTAAATTGTGAATTTAAATTAATTTTGTTTTATTTGTATATTTTAAGTGAAAATAAAGAGAAATTGTTGTTTTTAGGAAATTTTGTAAATGGGAATATTAAGGGTTTTGTTTTTTGTACAAACAAGAAAATATTCTAGATTATCTATAGTCTAGTCTATAGTCTAGTCTATAGTCTAGTCTATAGTCTAGTCTATAGTCTAGTCTATAGTCTAGTCTATAGTCTAGTCTATAGTCTAGTCTATAGTCTAGTCTATAGTCTAGTCTATAGTCTAGTCTATAGTCTAGTCTATAGTCTAGTCTATAGTCTAGTCTATAGTCTAGTCTATAGTCTAGTCTATCTAGTCTATAGTCTAGTCTATAGTCTAGTCTATAGTCTAGTCTATAGTCTAGTCTATAGTCTAGTCTATAGTCTAGTCTATAGTCTAGTCTATAGTCTAGTCTATAGTCTAGTCTATAGTCTAGTCTATAGTCTAGTCTATAGTCTAGTCTATAGTCTAGTCTATAGTCTAGTCTATAGTCTAGTCTATAGTCTAGTCTATAGTCTAGTCTATAGTCTAGTCTATAGTCTAGTCTATAGTCTAGTCTATAGTCTAGTCTATAGTCTAGTCTATAGTCTAGTCTATAGTCTAGTCTATAGTCTAGTCTATAGTCTAGTCTATAGTCTAGTCTATAGTCTAGTCTATAGTCTAGTCTATAGTCTAGTCTATAGTCTAGTCTATAGTCTAGTCTATAGTCTAGTCCTATAGTCTAGTCTATAGTCTAGTCTATAGTCTAGTCTATATCTAGTCTATAGTCTAGTCTATACTATAGTCTAGTCTATAGTCTAGTCTATAGTCTAGTCTATAGTCTAGTCTATAGGTCTGTCCTATAGTCTAGTCTATAGTCTAGTCTATAGTCTAGTCTATAGTCTAGTCTATAGTCTAGTCTATTAGTCTAGTCTATAGTCTAGTCTATAGTCTAGTCTATAGTCTAGTCTATAGTCTAGCTATAGTCTAGTCTTAGTCAGTTATAGTCAGTCTATAGTCTAGTCTATAGTCTAGTCTATAGTCTAGTCTATAGTCTAGTCTATAGTCTAGTCTATAGTCTAGTCTATAGTCTAGTCTATAGTCTAGTCTATAGTCTAGTCTATAGTCTAGTCTATAGTCTAGTCTATAGTCTAGTCTATAGTCTTAGTCTATAGTCTATCTATAGTCTAGTCTATAGTCTAGTCTATAGTCTAGTCTATAAGTCTAGTCTATAGTCTAGTCTATAGTCTAGTCTATAGTCTAGTCATAGTCTAGTCTATAGTCCTAGTCTATAGTCTAGTCTATAGTCTAGTCTATAGTCTAGTCTATAGTCTAGTCTATAGTCTAGTCTATAGTCTAGTCTATAGTCTAGTCTATAGTCTAATCTATAGTCTAGTCTATAGTCTAGTCTATAGTCTAGTCTATAGTCTAGTCTATAGTCTAGTCTATAGTCTAGTCTATAGTCTAGTCTATAGTCTAGTCTATAGTCTAATCTATAGTCTAATCTATAGTCTAGTCTATAGTCTAGTCTATAGTCTAGTCTATAGTCTAGTCTATAGTCTAGTCTATAGTCTAGTCTATAGTCTAGTCTATAGTCTAGTCTATAGTCTAGTCTATAGTCTAGTCTATAGTCTAGTCTATAGTCTAGTCTATAGTCTAGTCTATAGTCTAGTCTATAGTCTAGTCTATAGTCTAGTCTATAGTCTAGTCTATAGTCTAGTCTATAGTCTAATCTATAGTCTAGTCTATAGTCTAGTCTATAGTCTAGTCTATAGTCTAGTCTATAGTCTAGTCTATAGTCTAGTCTATAGTCTAGTCTATAGTCTAGTCTATAGTCTAGTCTATAGTCTAATCTATAGTCTAATCTATAGTCTAGTCTATAGTCTAGTCTATAGTCTAGTCTATAGTCTAGTCTATAGTCTAGTCTATAGTCTAGTCTATAGTCTAGTCTATATACTAGACTATATACTAGTGTAGACTAGACTATAGACTAGACTATATACTAGTGTATAGACTAGACTATAGACTAGACTATAGACTAGACTATAGACTAGACTATAGACTAGACTATAGACTAGACTATAGACTAGACTATAGACTAGACTATAGACTAGACTAGTCTAGTCTATAGTCTAGTCTATACACTAGTATATAGTCTAGTATATATTCTAGTCTATTGTCTAGTCTATAGTCTAGTTTATGGTCTAGTCTATAGTCTAGTCTATGGTTGAGTTTATAGACTTATCTATTGTAAAATCTACCAAAAACAATGGTGCTACAGCTAAAATAATATTTATTTATGATCATTTAAAAATTATTAAATATTTCCTTAATATGAAAACCATTAATTTCTCAAAAATATTTTTTCTCACGAAATATTTTTAAAAAAATATAATCTTGATGATTAATTTAAAATTAATTTATTAATAAAAACAAAAAGCCATAAACCAATTTATACTGGTTTTTCATAAGAAACACCTAAAATAAACAAACACGAAGTGCGCACTTCTCTAAAAACGATAACTGAAATCTTAAGAAAAAAAACATCTATCACACCATTTTGTTAGTAAAATATGTTAACAAATTATTTTCTTAAGAAAATAATGTTGAATTCCTGTGAAAAACCCCAAAAATCAAATTAAACAAAAACGTGTCAAGATATAGAAATTCCTTAAATATGAAATAATAAATTCATACATATTTGCAATAAAAATCGTTTAGCATTAGCAACAAATTGTGTTGTCCATTGTTTTCGTAGAAATTCAATTTTATAGAAACTCTGGACTTTGTTGTTTTCCTCTGTCCCAAAAGACAAGACAATATAAATTAAATTGATAATTAAATAAATAATTGAAGTTTTTAAGTGCATAAAATATAACACTTTCAGTTAACAAATAAAATGTTTTAAATTTTTTGGACTAAAAAAGATTTATGGTTTAATGATAAGATATTGACGGGAATGTGGAAGTTTTATTTTGACATGAAGTGAGCAGAAATGAAGCTCCAGTTAGGGGGCTATAAGGGGATTTTGTTGGGATGACAAACGTAGCAAAAATATTAATATCTTTTTGCTTAATTTATTATTAGTTTATATGAGTAATTGTAGTATTTTTTTAGATTTTATTATACCGTAATAATTTGTTTTTAGTAGGTAATAAGATTTCAACATCATTTGCTTAATATGTTTAGATAAGAAAGTATTGAAATCATGTTCTCTTGTTGGTTATCAAAAATAAAGACACAAACCTTATTCTAATATTAAAGAAATTTTGTGTTAATACACAACGACAGGAAGGAACGGTATGAAAATTAAAAAGTTTTTAGTTTAGTTTCCAGTCACTAAACTAGGCTATATAGTCCACCGTCTTCAGTCTAGCTATATTGTTATAAAAACTGAACTAGAACTGAACTTAAACTGAACTAAAACTGAACTAGAACTGAAGTAGAACTAAATTAGAACTGAACTGAACTAGAACTGAACTAGAACTGAACTAGAAATGAACTAGAAATGAACTAGAACTGAACTAGAACTGAACTAGAACTGAACTAGAACTGAACTAGAACTGAACTAGAACTGAACTAGAAACTGAACTAGAACTGAACTAGAACTGAACTACAACTGAACTAGAACTGAACTAGAACTGAACTAGAACTGAACTAGAACTAGAACTGAACTAGAACTAAAACTGAATTAGAACTGAACTAAAACTGAACTAGAACTGAACTAGAACTGAACTAGAAATGAACTAGAACTGAACTAGAACTGAACTAGAACTGAACTAGAACTGAACTAGAAACTGAACTAGAACTGAACTAGAACTGAACTGAACTAGAACTGAACTAGAACTGAACTAGAACTGAACTAGAACTGAACTAGAACTGAACTAGAACTGAACTAGAACTGAACTAGACTGAACTAGAACTGAACTAGAACTGAACTAGAACTGAACTAGAACTGAACTAGAACTGAACTAGAACTGAACTAGAACTGAACTAGAACTGAACTAGACTGAACTAGAACTGAACTAGAACTGAACTAGAACTGAACTAGAACTGAACTAGAACTGAACTAGAACTGAACTAGAACTGAACTAGAACTGAACTAGAACTGACTAGAACTGAACTAGAACTGAACTAGAACTGAACTAGAACTGAACTAGAACTGAACTAGAACTGAACTAGAACTGAACTAGAACTGAACTAGAACTGAACTAGAACTGAACTAGAACTGAACTAGAACTGAACTAGAACTGAACTAGAACTGAACTAGAACTGAACTAGAACTGAACTAGAACTGAACTAGAACTGAACTAGAACTGAACTAGAACTCTAGAACTGAACTAGAACTGAACTAGAACTGAACTAGAACTGAACTAGAACTGAACTAGAACTGAACTAGACTAACTAGAACTGAACTAGAACTGAACTAGAACTGAACTAGAACTGAACTAGAAACTGAAACTAGAACTGAACTAGAACTGAACTAGAACTGAACTAGAACTGAACTAGACTGAACTAGAACTGAACTAGAACTGAATTAGAACTGAACTAGAACTGAACTAGAACTGAACTAGAACTGAACTAGAACTGAACTAGAACTGAACTAGAACTGAACTAGAACTGAACTAGAACTGAATTAGAACTGAACTAGAACTGAACTAGAACTGAACTAGAACTAAACTAGAACGTATAGGGTACATCAATTAAAAAAATGTTTAAATATTTCTTTTAACCAAAATTTTGTTCTTAACTCTAAATAAATGATAACACATTCATGTTTTTAAGAAATTATGCACTGATTAGTTGTTTTCAATATGTTAATAAACTTTTGTTAATACTAGATAACAGTTAAAATTTTACAAAACAATGAAATAAACAAAAACAAAATTATTAAGCTAATAACACCTAATAACAAGTAAAATCGGAACTGAACACCTTCACACATACACTTCCTTTACAAATCAATAACAAAATTACTGATAAAAAATTTGATAAAATAATTTTTTTTTAAAGAACTTTTTTTTGTGTTATTTATTATGCAGTTGTAATCAGTTTTGTTAAGAGGTTTATAAATGGTGTGATAATAGTTAAACAGACACAGTTGAAGTTGAGCAGTTAAGAAAAGAACATTAATAGTTAAGAGTTAAGAAAGAAATTTATAAAGTTTTATAAAAGATCATTTTAAAATCTTACGAACAGTTAAAGTGTTTTGATTTAAAAACAAAAAAAGTTAATAAAAAATTAAAAACAACATGTTTTCCTTACAAAAAGTGTTTGTGCTATTGGCTGTTTTGGCTTTAACTCATGCTGTGTTTGGTGATGATACTATTCAAGACCTTAATCTTTGTAAATCGCAATACAATGGAGCCATATTGCCCCATAATAATAATTGTCAGAAATTCTATATCTGTATCAACCACAAGCCCTACGAATACAATTGTGATCCTTCATTCCACTTTGATCCCATAACACGCACCTGCAAAGCTGGTACTAACTGTGGAACCGATTTTAACAAACCAGCCTCATGTGTTGATGGTACAATTAAACCCATACAAGACGATTGTTTTATCTTTGAGGCTTGCGTTAAGGGACAATTCCAGAAAATCAGCTGCCCACCCAATTACTATTTTAATGCTCAGCAAGCCATCTGTGTACCCTATCAAAATGATGCTGAATTCAAATGTAACTGCCTAATGCCGGAACACACTGTCATGGAGAATGTAAACAACTGTGAGACTTATTATGTTTGCCGTTCTAAAAATGCTATTTTGGAAAATTGTCCTTTGGATCAATACTACAATTCGCAGCTTAATGCCTGTATTACCGATTTGGAAGGAGTCTGTTTAATGAAACCCACCATGACACCCGAACTAGAGGAAGAATTGAAAGTTAGCCATTTAGATAAAATGGCAGGAAATGATGTACAAACCACTTGTGCTAAATTAGGTTTGGAGGGTATACATTTCCAAACTTTACCCAAAGAATGTAATACATTCTATTTGTGTGTCAATGGCCAGCTGTATACACAACATTGTCCCGAAGACTTTTACTATGATAGTGAGAAACAATACTGTATACTTGATAGCTTAAACAAATGTTCTAAAACAACTGATATTCAGACACCTTTAACTATGCAGCAGGAAATCATAGAAAGTCCTAAGTTATTTGAACAAAACAAATTATTTTCAAAATTTATTAAATTTTAAATAAATGGTAATACATAAAATATTTTAAAGCAGAACCTCAGAAAAGTTTATATTTTTAGTTTATTTATTATTTAAGTTTTTTTTATGAAAATTATTCATAGTTATTAATAAATTATTTATCATAACATATTATGCGTATTGTTTTTTCTTTATTGTTAAGTTATCTATAATTTGACACATCAGCAAACCCCATCTGTCTTTTTAACTTTTACTATAGACAATTGAGACAATTATGATTGATGAAGAAAGGTTATTTTTTTGCAATTGCAAAAGAATTGTGGAAAATTATTAGACAACTTTAATCAATAAGATAATAAAGAGATAAATAAGACACAAAAATGTTCTAGTTGTGTTCTAGTTATGTTCTAGTTTGTTCTAGTTGTGTTCAGTTCTGTTCTAGTTCTGTTCTAGGTCTGTTCTAGTTTGTTCTAGTTCTGTTCTAGTTCTGTTCTAGTTCTGTTCTAGGTTGTAGTTCTAGAGTTCGTGTAGTTGTTCTAGTTCTGTTCTAGTTCCTGTTCTAGTTCTGTTCTAGTTCTGTTCTAGTTCTGTTCTAGTTCTGTTCTAGTTCTGTTCTAGTTCTGTTCTAGTTCTGTTCTAGTTCTGTTCTAGTTCTTTCTAGTTCTGTTCTAGTTCTGTTCTAGTTCTGTTCTAGTTCTGTTCTAGTTCTGTTCTAGTTCTGTTCTAGTTCTGTTCTAGTTCTGTTCTAGTTCTGTTCTAGTTCTGTTCTAGTTCTGTCTAGTTCTGTTCTAGTTCTGTTCTAGTTCTGTTCTAGTTCTGTTCTAGTTCTGTTCTAGTCTGTTCTAGTTATGTTCTAGTTCTGTTCTAGTTCTGTTCTAGTTCTGTTCTAGTTCTGTTCTAGTTCTGTTCTAGTTCTGTTCTAGTTCTGTTCTAGTTCTGTTCTAGTTCTGTTCTAGTTCTGTTCTAGTTCTGTTCTAGTTCTGTTCTAGTTCTGTTCTAGTTCTGTTCTAGTTCTGTTCTAGTTCTGTTCTAGTTCTGTTCTAGTTCTGTTCTAGTTCTGTTCTAGTTCTGTTCTATTTCTGTTCTAGTTCTGTTCTAGTTCTGTTCTAGTTCTGTTCTAGTTCTGTTCTAGTTCTGTTCTAGTTCTTTTCTAGTTCTGATCTAGTTCTGCTTTAGTTCTGTTCTAGTTCTGTTCTAGTTCTGTTCTAGTTCTTTTCTAGTTCTGTTCTAGTTCTGTTCTAGTTCTGTTCTAGTTCTGTTCTAGTTCTGTTCCAATTCTGTTCCAATTCTGTTCTAGTACTGTCCTAGTTTTTTTTCTAGTTCTGTTCTAGAAAGTGTCGTATAGATTTCTATATATAAAAAATGTATAAATTTCACTTACCTTCCATGATGCTTGACAATAAGGTGGTATATTGACAGTTCGGCATAAAGTAAAAACAAATTGAGGCAAAGGATCACTGGGGAAAATGGTATAACTCATAACCATTTCCAATATAGATAGACATTGTATACCAATGACCTCATCCGAAACGGAGCAGCTTAAATTGCAGGCATTGCTGAAAGAAAACAATTAAAATTGAAATAAAAAACTACAAGCAAAATAAGTATGCACAACTTACGTTACTATTCCAATAATAATTTCATTATCCAAATGAGCGGCATTGAACTTTATCAAATTGACCAGCATATTTAAATAGGGAACCAAAAGATTAGCTTGATGAATGGCACCCAGCCACTGCAACATAAAGCGGCCAATCTAAAACAAAACTATTAAAGCATAATTTTCTTATAAGAATTGCGGAAAGTAAATACCTTTTCCTCTAGATTCTTAATATCTTTGCCATTTTCCGTTAAAGTTTCCAGCAATTCCAATCTATGCTTAAGATCCTCGGGTACTTCATGATTTTGTATGACCAAAAAGAATTGTTCTCGCATATAAGTTAGTGTCTTATATTGGGTATGTATAAGTTTTTTGTAGAAAGTCAAGGCAGTCTGACGGCATTCAGAGGATTTGGTGGGTACTAGTAAATCCTTAGTAACATCCCAAAGTTTTACAATAGTGTTCTGAAATAGGAATTTTAAAAGTTTTTAAAGAAAATTGTAAATATGTAATTTTCTGTATACCTCATCCAGATTGCAGGACTGCAAATGCACCTCACTTAGATCTTTTAAAATCTTACATCTTTGAGCCACCGGTTGTTCGGGTCGTAGTTCCCATTCTATTTCTGGCCTTAGGCATCTGTCGTTGGTGCCTATTTTGATTTGGGAATACAAATTTATTTATTTTTCTTATTGGTAGATGTGTGCAGTACAAACCTGGTGGATTTTTGGCATTTTTTAGAAATGATTTAAACTTGGATTTGGATAATTCCTTATCTTTGGAACTCATTGTTGTTTGTGCTTACAAATTTGTTTACTTTTATTTAATATTTTATTTGTAATTGTTTATTTTCAATTGGCAAAGATATGCTTGAACCAGCCCAAACAAAAATCACTTTGGAAAAGTTTAACCGAACAGCTGTAACACATATGTTCTAGCAGCTGCCTCCCAGACACAGAGTTGCAAACGAAAATAGGCTGGCGTTCACAAAAATCTTATCTGTTAATTTTGGCTGATATTTAAATTTCATCATTTATTTAAAAATGGCCGCCAATTCCTAGTTGATAGTTTTTAACAAATAAAAAAGTTGAATATTTTATTTTTGTTTAATTACCTTTTTTGAAGAATTTCACAATTAACACTTATTTTTCAACAATTTTTCACATTTACTTTAATTATTTGGCATTTTATAATTAAAAAATGTAATTGAATTAATTTTTTACCACACATGCTTCAAAAATGGTGGAAATTCAAGATTAAACATGAAACTTAGCTTGAACAGAGCCCTGCGCCGACAAATATTAACGGCGGCGGCTTAAAATCGACTGTAAGCCGGCTAAGTTTTCAACTACGTTTAGTTTTTAATTTTTCAACGATTTTAAATAAAAACGGAATCCGAGAGATCAGAAAGTGGAATTTTGGAAGCAAATATATTGTTTATAAAAACAAAACAGAGCAAGCTCAAAAGTTGTGTAAGAAATTATGCAGGGATAAATAAAAAATTCTTAAAAATTAAAAACAAATCCTTTCTCCAAGTTTTACTAGGATCTGCCGATATTTAAGCCTATCTTCCATATAAAACATCTTGCAGAAAATCAGTTTCTAAAAAATTTTGCATTAAGAAAATGATCAATAACGTATAAACAAAGATATTTTATTTGTTTATTTACAAGCTATACCCAGTGTGCTGTGCTACCCTAAAAGCAATATAAACAAGTAAGAAAGTATAGTCGGGCGTGGCCGACCATATGATACCCTACACCAGTTATGAATATTAAATGTGATTTATTTTTCATAATAAAGCATTTATCTTCAATATTCCCTTGTTCCGATACACTAAAGCAATTTACGGATGAAAAACTAATTTTCTAAAAGAGGCTTTATATGGGGGCTAGGGGCAAATATGGACCAAGCCCTATAAAACTTTGTGAATATATTTATATTTACATAATATTTTATTGTGCTGAATTTCATCGCGATATTTGTGTTTATAAGTTAATTTGAGACATTCAAGTAATTTTCTGAAGGCAACTTTGTATGGGAGCTAGGGTCAAATGTGGCCCGATCTTTATGAAATTTGGCAGGGTCATCAAGACTTCTATAAAACTTAGTTGTGCCGTATTTTATCGGTATATCTGTATATTTAACATAATTATGAGCTCAGAAGCCCTTTTCGGGGGGTTCTGTTCTATGGGGGCTAGGTGAAATAATGGACCGATTTTAACCATTTTCAATAGACTTCGTCCTTGGGTCAAATAAAACGTGCGTGCTAAATTTCATCCAATTATCTTGAAAATTGCGACCTGTACCTTGCGCACAAGGTTTACATGGACAGCCAGCCAGACGGACGGACGGACATAGCTTAATCGACTCAGAAAACGATTCTAAGCCGATTGGTATACTTTAAGGTGGGTCTAGGATGAATATTTTTGTATGTTACAAACATCAGCACAAATCCAATATACCCTCCCCACTAAAGTGGTGTAGGGTATAATAAGAAACCCACTTAACGACTTTGATGATTTTAACTACAATGGTTTTCCAGATATACAATTTGTTACATATGGGAGATTCCACGCAAATTATTGCAATTTCGAATAATCTAATAGTTTCCCAGATATACAAAATTTTATATTTAATTCATATGGGAAGTGCCAAGCCCCCCATTGAAAGTCCGCCCGTTATTCTCTAAATGTTCTTCAGTAAAAATTGAAATTCTAGCTCTAATAGTTTCTCAGATATACGAATTTTTCTATTTAATTCATATGGGAGCTCCAAGCCCCCCAGATGAAAGTCCGCCCTTTTTTCTCCATAATGTTTAGATGAATATTAAAGTTCTTCGTGCAAAATTTGAAGAATTTAGTTTTATTAGTTTACCAGATAAACGAATTTTTGTATTTAATTCATATAGGAGGTTCCGCTCCCCTCATTGGTAGTCCCCCGATTTATTACCCAAAATATTTACATGGATGTTAAAGTTCTTCCAGAACAAAATCATTTAAAGGGATCACAAAGAGATTGAAAAATATTCCAAAAGTTTCACTTTGAAAACATTATTAGAATGTATGAAAACGCGCAACTCTAAGGGCAGACTATTCCTATTTTCAAAAAGTACCAGTTAAAGAACGAAAAATTACCAGAAATACTCCAGTTTAAATTTTCATTCACTCAAGTCCCTGATTGCTTAGTTTTATGTCTTTAGGTTCATTATAATAGAAAATTCAAATAGAACCAGTTGAAGGACGAAAAAGTTCGAAAAAGTCCCCTTTTATATGTTATCACTTAATCCGGGCTGTACATTCCTAATTTCATGTTTCTAGGTTCAATATTATAAAAAATTCAAAAAGTACCAGTCGAAGAACGAAAAAGTTCCAAAAAGTCCCCTTTTATATGTTATCACTTAATCCGGGCTGTACATTCCTAATTTCATGTTTCTAGGTTCAATATTATAAAAAATTCAAAAAGTACCAGTCGAAGAACGAAAAAGTACTAAAAAGTCCCTTTTTATAGATTATAATTTACTCCGGGCTCTACATATTTATTTTCATGTTTCTAGGTTTAATTTTATGGAAAACTCAAAAAGTACCAGTCGAAGTACGATAAAGTTCCCATTTTATAGATTCTCATTTACTCCAGGCTCTAAGTGCTTAATTTCAGGTTTCGAGGTTCAAATTTTGTAGCAAGCTCAAAAAGTACCAGTCAAAGAACGAAAAAGTACCAAAAAGTGCCATTTTATAGATTCTCATTTACTCCAGGCTCTACGTGCATAATTTCATGTTTCTATGTTCAATTTAATAGAAAACTCAAAAAGTACCTTTTGAAGAACGAAAAAGTACCAAAAAGTCCACTTTTATAGATTCTCAAGTGCTTAATTATACATGTTTCTAAGTTCTAAGTCAAAAAAGTACCAGTTGCAACATCGTATTGGGAGCCCGTTATTTTGTATTCATATGTATAAGTTAATAAACCAAAAACGATGTTTTATAAAAAAGTACCAAAAATAAGTACAATTTTCACCCCTTAAACGTCCGAATATCCAAAAAGTACTAAATTCATATTTTTATTTGTTCGTCAAGTTATGAAGGATTCAAAAATATTTTTTGAATGTTCTCTGGTTTAAAAGATACATGGGGTGCAAAAGAAGTACCAAATTACAGTTTCTACCCGTTTATTCCCCAAAGAAGCCGAATTTGAAAGACGGCTTAACAATTGTTTCTTGTAAATATTCGGCCACCATAGTGTTTGAAGACAACAAGAGCTTCACTGAAAGGCACACCTGACAGACATCGCGCTCTATTATGGGTGTATGGTAGTGATTCTGCTAAGATCAATGGTATAATAATAAGTATGTATCTTAAGGATACCCGCTGAATACGGCAATCAGCTTCCTTCCATTGCCTCTAGGTGATAATATACCATGTCACCACTAGCCGACCGACCACCACCCACCTAGGCTACTAGGTAGGGTTCTATAGTTGAAACGAAAAGTCGACTTTTTGCATTTAGTTAAAAGTCGACTTTTCGACCTTTCGACTTTTTCCATTTTATGAAAAGTCGATTTTTCGACTTTTTGACCTTTATCATTTATTTAAAAGTCGACTTTTAGACTTTTCGACTTTTAGTATTTTATAAATGGTCGACTTTTCGACTTTTTCCGACTTTTTTCGACTTTTCGACTTTTTTCGACTTTTCGACTTTTTTCGACTTTTCGACTTTTTTCGACTTTTTCCGACTTTTTTCAACTTTTCGACTTTTTCCGACTTTTCGATTTTTTACGACTTATTGACTATTTTCGACTTATTTCGACTTTTTTTCGACTTTTTTCGACTATTTTTTACTTTTTTTGAGTTTTTCCGACTATTTTAGAGTTTTTGACCTCTTTTCCACTTTTTTAAAATATTCGACTATTTTCGACTTTTCGACTTTTTCCGACTTTTCGACTTTTTTCGACTTATCGACTTTTTTCGACTTTTCGACTTTTTTCGACTTTTTTCGACTTTCCGACTTTTTTCGACTTTTATTTACAAAGTCGACTTTTCGACTTTTTTCATAGACGATAGTCGAGTTATCGACTTTTTTGGAACAAAATAGTCGACTTCGACTTTTCGACTTTTTTCGACAAAAAGTCGATTGTTCGATTATTCGAAAGTCGATTTATAGAACCCTATATCTATCTCTTTCACTCTCGTAGTAAAACACGCTAAGAAAACTGTAAATAACACAGGCGATGCAAACTGTTTACAATTGAAACAGTCAGCGACAAACCACAATATATATAAAGATATATTTAATTTTGAAGAAATTAAATTTAAAAAAATTATAAAAAAAGTTATATAAATTATTAAAACCAAATTTTCTAAAAAAATAAATGCAATAAATTGCATTTTAATAAAACTTGAAATTGTTTTAATGGCATTCATAGGAAATACTTTGCTGTAGAAAACTTTTTAAATTAAAAACTTTTCAATGGAACTTTTTCTATAGAAAACTGTCTAATAAAGACACTTTTCTACATTTATAGATAATAATTTTGTAGATCGCTGTATAAAAAAATCACTATTCTATTCAAAAATAAAAGTTTTCTACAGAAAAGTAATAAGAAATAGAACTTTTCTTTAAAAAACGCTGATAATGCTAATTTAAACAGAAACCCAACTAATATTTGCCTATTGCACTGATTGTTATCGATATGTTGCTATCGCTTTTGTTGCATAACTAATAGTCCGTTACAAGTTTTCACATAACACCATCTCCTTCTGACACGTATACGATAATAAGCTAGAAAGAGATAAATACTTGTACGTTTTATAAAAAAGCCAAACAAAACTTTTTTCCTGCTCGTTAAACGAAGTAAAAGCACAAAAAGAAAAGAAAAATTTGCAAACTGACGGCCGAAGAAGAAAAATCTGAAAATTTATTAAACGTCGGGAAAAAAAACTACAAAATTTTCGCTAGATATAATAAAACTAACGTGGAAAATTTGGAAATTTTTTGTAAATTAAAAATTAATAAAACGTAATAGTGTTTAATAGTGAATATAATAAAATAATTGGACTTATAGAAAAGCAAAGAAAACAATAATATTGTGAAGTCGTGAATTAACACATTACATATTTATTTTATTAATTTTCAAGGTACGTACTAAGAGTAATTATGTTTAAATTAAATAACAACTAGCTAACTTATTTAGTCATGAATGTATATTTATGTGTTATTTTCATAAAATTTTCATTATTTGTTAACCTTTCCGGGCTAGTGGTTGCCCTTGTGACATTTTAATTTTATTTCGTTAGTTTTTGGCTAAAATTTTTATAGTGTATTGCAATTTTTTTTAATATTTGCTGCTACGCCATTTTGATTGCTATATTAAAAACGCTACAAAAAAAAGAAAAATTTTAAATCTTTCCTTTTTGTTTGCTTTATAAATCTATTTATTATTTATATATTTAAATGTATGTGTGGTTTGTATATTTTCTATTTTAATTTTATAATTTTGCTGAAAAATCAATTTTTTCTTATGTTTAATTTTGCATTATTATTTGCGGATTTCTTTTTGCTTTCTCATTCTTAACTCAGTTCTTTTAATGGCTTTTCTCTGGTTGTTCTCTTTTTCTTATTGCTTTTGATTTGTTTACATTATTTGTTCATTATTTGCTGTAATTATAACTGTCAATAATATTGTTGTGTTTTGTCGCCGTTTAGAGTTGCCAGTTTTTATTTATTATTTAAACGTTTTCTTTCTATTTATAGTATTAATTATTGTATGGTGGAGAATTTTGTAAATAAATAAATATATTTTTGAAGAGTAATGGTGTTAATTTTGATGTTGATATTTTAAATGACGTATTTTGTAAGCAATTGTGTGTTTGTGTATCAATAAACAGGCTCATTTGTCATAGAAAATCTCATTTTTTTGCCAGATATTGATTTTGTCATTTAGCTTTGTTAATAATAAGGATAATTGTGTAAAGTTTAAGAATAATAGGACATTGCAACATATTTTTATAGAAAAGTGGCTTTAGAAAGTTTTCTACAAAAAAATTTTAATTGTAATTCAATTCTAGTTTAAGTTTTAGTTCAGTTCTAGTACATTTCCAGAACAGTTCTAGTTCAGTTCTGGTTCAGTTCTAGTTCAGTTCTAGTTCAGTTCTAGTTCAGTTCTAGTTCAGTTCTAGTTCAGTTCTAGTTCAGTTCTAGTTCAGTTCTAGTTCTAGTTCAGTTCTAGTTCAGTTCTAGTTCAGTTCTAGTTCAGTTCTAGTTCAGTTCTAGTTCAGTTCTAGTTCAGTTCTAGTTCAGTTCTAGTTCAGTTCTAGTTCAGTTCTAGTTCAGTTCTAGTTTCAGTTCTAGTTCAGTTCTAGTTCAGTTCTAGTTCAGTTCTAGTTCAGTTCTAGTTCAGTTCTAGTTCAGTTCTAGTTCAGTTCTAGTTCAGTTCTAGTTCAGTTCTAGTTCAGTTCTAGTTCAGTTCTAGTTCAGTTCTAGTTCAGTTCTAGTTCAGTTCTAGTTCAGTTCTAGTTCAGTTCTAGTTCAGTTCTAGTTCAGTTCTAGTTCAGTTCTAGTTCAGTTCTAGTTCTAGTTCAGTTCTAGTTCTGTTCAGGTTCATTTATAGTTCAGTTCTAGTTCAGTTCTATTTCAGTTCTAGTTCAGTTCTAGTTCAGTTCTAGTTCAGTTCTAGTTCAGTTCTAGTTCAGTTCTAGTTCAGTTCTAGTTCAGTTCTAGTTCAGTTCTAGTTCAGTTCTAGTTCAGTTCTAGTTCAGTTCTAGTTCAGTTCTAGTTCAGTTCTAGTTCAGTTCTAGTTCAGTTCTAGTTCAGTTCTAGTTCAGTTCTAGTTCAGTTCTAGTTCAGTTCTAGTTCAGTTCTAGTTCAGTTCTAATTCAGTTCTAGTTCAGTTCTAGTTCAGTTCTAGTTCAGTTCTAGTTCAGTTCTAGTTCAATTCTAGTTCAGTTCTAGTTCAGTTCTAGTTCAGTTCTAGTTCAGTTCTAGTTCAGTTCTAGTTCAGTTCTAGTTCAGTTCTAGTTCAGTTCTAGTTCAGTTCTAGTTCAGTTCTAGTTCAGTTCTAGTTCAGTTCTAGTTCAGTTCTAGTTCAGTTCTAGTTCAGTTCTAGTTTAGTTCTAGTTCAGTTCAGTTCTAGTTCTGTTCTACTTAAAGTTCTTGTTCATTTCTGGTTCAGTTATAGTTTTATTTGAGTCTAGTTCAGTTTTCTGTACAGAAAAAATTTAATTTTTAATTTGTTTTCTATAGGAAATTGTTTTTTTTTACATATTTTTATGAATGTGACTTCTTTAGACAGTTTTATATAGGAAAGTTTCTTATTTAGACAATATTCTATATAGTAGTTTTTCTTTATCCAGTTTTTTTTATATAAAATGATTTCTTTAGAGATTTTTCTATAGAAAACAATTAGACAATTTTCTATAAAAACAGTTTTCTATAGAGAAAGAGAATTCATTAACAATTTATTTAAAAAAAAATATTGCTTTAATAAAATTTATGATTTTTATAAAATGTTTTTGTAAATATGTAATTATTATTGTAAATATTTAATTATTTTTGTTTACTAATATTAAACTTTGGCTTTAACCTTTTAATTTTTACTAATTTTATGTTTATGCAAGTTTTTATGGAAAATATTAAGTATTTTCATTTTATATCATCATTTTGTGTTTAAATTAACTACATGTCGCTTAAAACTAACAAGACACGTATAATATTTAACTAATAGTTAAGAAAAACTTAAAAAAATAAAAAAAAAATTAAAAGAAAACCTTTCAAAAATTTTACAGCATTTTTGTTTTGTGTTGTACTTTGTCTTAATAAAAACAGTTTATTGAAATGAGTTCCACTGAAGAAACTAGTAGCCAAGCTACCACACCTCAAGATGCACCCGAAGATCAGGTAAAATGATGGATAGATAATTTTGTAAAATATAAAAAAAAGCTTTAAAAAACTGTTTCTTCTTTTCTAAAAGTCCAATGCCCGTGAATTGGAAAAAATTGAAGAAGAGAAACTAAAATCGAAATATCCAGTGGGACTGAGGGGCCCTGGTGGTCATACCGCTTTCTTGCAAAAGAGATTACAAAAAGGGGTAATTATTTAAAAAAAGTTCATTTAAAAGGAATTAATTTTGAATTTTTTTTTGTAAAGCAAAAATATTTCGATTCTGGTGATTATCAAATGGCCAAACAAAAAGGTGGTGGTGTCAAGCAGGTCTTTGCTAATAAAGTTACAACCGGAGAAGCCATACCCACACCTGAAACAGTGCCTGCGCGTAAAACTTCGATTATACAACCCTGTAATAAATTTCCTGCGACGAGTTAAGTTGTTAATTTTAATTCCCCCCTGAAAACAAAAACTAACTTCTTTACTCACACTTCTACTAATAATTATTACAAAAAAAGAAAAGAAATCCTCAACCTCAAAGTTGGAAAAAAAGGAATGTTTAAACTTTTTCTCGCCTTTTCCTCCTACCAAATTCTTAAATTTGTTTTAACAAAACTTTTTAAGAATTTTTAAGTGAAATTTTGAAAATTTTTCTTTTTTAAATAAAATCCCCCAAAACAGCATTGTATGCAAAAAAACGAAAAAAATATAATTTTTATCTTTATTATTAATTATTAAAAAAGAAAACTTTATTTAAAATAATAGCCGTTTATTGTCATTAATTTTTCTTAATAATTTTTTTCTTACAACTCTTTTGAAAGAGTTTCTTTACTACTACTTTAATATACATAAAAACATATACTTTAAAATTTAAAAAATCAATTTTAAATTAGACAAAATAATTCTCATTTTGTTGAAATTAAATTAAAAAAAGCAAAGAAAAATCAGCCTTTAAAACTTTAGTTTGTAAGTTTTTAATTTCTTTCTTTTTTTTTTTCGTTTGTTCTTTGCCAACTCATATATATTTTTATTATTATTACTACAAAACTAATTTTCAATTTGTTCTTGTAAAACTTTATGAAAAAAATGTAAAATTTAAAAAGCTGAAAAAAGCATTGAAACGAATTGAAGATGAAAAATTTACACAAAAAAAATGATAAAAACAGCAAAGCGAAAATAATAAAAAATTAAAAGCATATTTATGTAAAAATTTACAAAAATGGCAATTTTATTTAATATTTAAAATTTACAAAATTATTTTTAAAAGACAATTTACTTTTTCATATAAATTTTTATAGAAAAGTAAATTTTTTTACACAAATTTCTCCGGAAAAGCTTATTTAGAGTTAATTTTCTATGGGAAAGTAGCTTCTCTACATAATTTTCTACTGAAGTTTCTTTTCTAGACAATTTTATACAGAAAAGTGTCTTCTAGGGAAAATGTTGTATTGAAAATTGTCTTCTAGGTACAACTTTCTATTGAAAAGTGTCTTCAAGAGACAATTTACTATAGAAAAGTGTATTTATACAATTTTCTATAGGAAATGTCTATATTTATTGTAAAAATTATATACCATTTTTATATTATTCTATCAAATAGAGATTAATTGATCAAATTTCCTATTTTTAACGTTAAATTTTATAAAAAATCTAAATTATTTAAAAAAAAGCATCGAAATTCCCTTTATTTTAAATGTTAACGGCTCAATAGTTAAATGTGGCATCTCTTTCTTTTACTTAAGCAAAACTGGCAACACCTTAAAAGCATGCCAGTGTTATCTTTCTAACGGCGTTATAATTTTAAGTTTCAAACGCCGTTGTTAATTTTCAACGGCGTTGAGTGTGCATTAGTCACTGCTGTGCACAAAAGAATAACAAAATTTTCTATAAAAGTATTAAAATATTAAATAAATTTTAACTTAAATTATAAATTTTTAATAAATAAAACAATAATAAACACAAAAATGCAGGTAAATATAAGAAAAATAAAGAAAATTCCCTTAAAAAACAAACGGCTGTATAAAGAAATATAAGAAAAACAAAACGTATCGTGCACATTGCATGCCCCAGAGTTTTGATTATTTCCTTATATGGTATTTTGGTTTTTGTGGGTGGGGGGTAAAAATAAACAAAACTATAACAAGAAAATGTAAATAATATAATTTTTTTGTTATTTTTATAATTCAGGATCCCAATGAAGATACCGAATGGAATGATATCCTACGTTCCAAGGGCATTTTGCCTCAAAAACAAAAGGAGGCAGAAATTACCGAAGATCAAATACAGGCCATGATTGATGAGGCTATTGAAAAGCGCACCGATTTACATGAGGGTCGTTCCAAAAATGTGGAAGATATGAATTTAGATGAACTCGATGAATTAGAAGATTCTGAAGATGAAGAGGTATTGGAACGTTATCGTCAACAACGTATAGCCGAAATGAGAGCTTTTGCTGAAAAGTCTAAATTTGGCACAGTACGTGAAATTTCCGGCCAAGACTATGTAAGTGAGGTTACCAAAGCTGGCGAAGGTATTTGGGTTGTTCTACACCTATATGCCAATGGTGTACCTTTATGCGCTCTCATCCACCATCATATGCAACAGTTAGCGGTGCGTTTTCCTCAAACTAAATTCCTGCGTTCTATAGCCACCACTTGTATACCTAATTTCCCTGAAAAGAACCTGCCTACCATTTTCGTTTATCATGAGGGTCAAATGAAGAAGCAATTCATTGGCCCCCTGGAGTTGAGAGGTGAAAAATTGACTTTGGATGAGCTGGAATTCATGTTGGGTCAGGTGGGGGCGGTGCCCACTGAGATTAAGGAAGATCCTAAGCCACAAATTAAAGATAAAATGTTTGCTGACTTAGAGAATGCGGCCGATGACTTTTTCTCCAACTAGATAAATTAAAAATAGAAAATTTTTAATGAATTTTTTTTTAATAAAAAATAATTTAACTTAAGAAAACACTTTTCTTTAGAAAACTGTCTAAAGAAGGCAACCGTTTTATACAGTACTCTCTAAAGGAGACTCTTTTTTAATAGAAGTTTGTTTAAAGATAATATTTTAATAGAAATCTGTCTATGGAAGTCACTTTCGATCCGATCTTTATTTCTTGCCCTCATATTTGTGTTTTGAATTCAAACTTGTTTTAGAAGCATTTGACTTGACTTTAACACGAAATATATTTGGATCCACTATATTATAAGGATGTTCAGGAGCAGGGTTTATCAAACGAGCACGGCGAGGCTCATTTTCCTCTAAAAGATGAGGAGCCAACAATAGAAATAATTGCTAGAAAATAAATAGAATATAGAATTAAGCTTAAAGCTAGCTAGCTAAAAAAAAAAATACCCACCTCTGTCCAAGAGGGCAGACCACAAGAAGCAAAACATAACTCCCAATAGGGTAAACCCAAATGAGCTATAGCCATGCGCAAGTATTCACTAAAGTTTTCGGCTAAAAATACCCATTTGAAAGAATCCAATTCCAAGAGATAAATTTTCGGATTATTTGAAGAACTTGAGTCGTAAATCAAACACACTTTGGCCACTTCATTGACAGTATTCAATTCGAAAATTTTGGTTTTGGGACCTATCAAAGGCAAAGGATTGCCCCATTGATCTTTAAGCGTGTTCACCGAAGTAGATGAGGATGTTGTAGCAGTGTTAGTATTAAGATGTTGTACTGATAAATGGGAATTTATGGTAGAACTGCTGGTTAGATTAGTAGATAACGAAGTACTCGAAGAAGTGGCCGAGGAAGAGGTTTCGTTATTGGTTTGAAAAATTGGTTCAACATTTTCACGCAACAAAGTAATTTGCACCAATTGAGGAAATTGTATATAGCCCACACGTCTGATATCATTGGCTGTAAGGGAAAAAAGTTGGAATCATTTTTATTATCAATTTTTTTTTTGTAAAGAAAACTCACGAGCATATTGATAACTCCAGTGCAGCAGAAAACCATCGGTAGATAAATAGAATTTCTTCATATCCTCGGGCAAATAAACACCATGTCTTTGCTCCCAAGTCATAACATTAGATTTCTCACAAGGTGATCTTTTCTCCATGGTGACATTACAAATGCGTGGAACATTAGCTAAAATATGATTTAGAATTTTCTTAATTCATTTCGGAAGTTTAGTTTTTGTTAAGTTTATTGCCTTACATAAGGTGGAGTTGAGGCCCAGCAGCAGATTATCGTAAAAAGCATCTTCCGGAGATTTTTTCGACATGTTTTTGAAATTGATTTTGAATGAATTTTAATAATTGACAACAGAGTTAGGGAAAATAAACAAATAGTGACAGTAAACCATGACAACAACTAAGTGGACATCAGGATTCCAAATATTAAAACATAAATGAAAAGTTTTCTATGGAAAATTGTAAACAAAAGGCATTTTTTTTATAGGAAACTATTAAAAGCTTTTAAGCTTTACTAAATTGCTAAAGCTTTTAAGCTTTATTAAAGCTTTTAAGCTTTACTAGCGTATTTAAGAAATTTACTAAGCAGGAAAAAAGGCAAAGAAATCCCCGTAGCAAAGCTTTACTAAAGTTTTTAAGCTTTACTAACGCTAGTCTATAGCTTTACTAAAGCTTTTATGTTTTACTAAAGCTATTAAGCTTTACTAAAGCTTTTAAGCTTTACTAAAGCTTTTAAGCTTTACTAAAGCTTTTAAGCTTTACTAAAGCTTTTACACCAGGACACCAGGATTCCAAATATTAAAACATAAATGAAAAGTTTTCTATGGAAAACTGTAAACAAAAGACATTTTTTTATAGGAAACTATTAAAAGCTTTTAAGCTTTACTAAAATACTAAAGCTTTTAAGCTTTATTAAAGCTTTTAAGCTTTACTAGCGTATTTAAGAAATTTACTAAGCAGGAAAAAAGACAAAGAAATCCCCGTAGCAAAGCTTTACTAAAGCTTTTAAGCTTTACTAAAGTTTTTAAGCTTTACTAAAGCTAGTCTACAGTCTAGTCTATAGCTTTACTAAAGCTTTTAAGCTTTACTAAAGATTTTAAGCTATACTAAAGCTTTTACTTTTTTTTTACAGCTTTTAAGCTTTTCTTACTTTATTTTATTGAAAAAAAACTCACTTTTCATTTAAAGAAAAAAAATCAAATTTTACACTTTATTTACACAAAAATTCCTTTAATTCAAACAAAATTATTGATTGAAACATAAAATTTTACAACCTTTTTTGTACTGTTTTACACAAAAAAAAAAAAGCTTTACACATTTAGAACGTATTTTACTAAAATGTATTTTAATTGAAAAATGTTTAGCTTAATGCTTTTTTTGTTTAATGTTTACTTTTGGCATATATAACATCCTCCGATTCGGCTTCCTCTTCATGTCAGGAAACCTCCCAAACAGTCGATTCCATTGAACGTCTCGGACGCGCTGCCACCTCAACATGAGCATCGAGTCCATCACTTAAACGTGAAAATCTACGAGCCCAATTACGTCTAGTGGCAAATTGGCCGGCTGTACCACCACCACCACCTTCACTACCATTTAGAGGTAAACTGGTAGTGGTAATACTATTACGACTGCTGGCATCACGGAAAAGACTCATTAGGTCTTGGCTATCGCCTTGGGCACGCTTCATGCCATGCTGGTATTTGGCCTCTTTGGCCAAGAGTTGTTCGCGTTGCATTTGGGTTTTGACTTCGGCGGGTATGTCGGGTATAATGAATTGCATAATGCCGGTAATGACGAAAACAATATGCTAAGGCAGAGAGAGAGAGAGAGAGAGAATAGACGAGAAATTAGGAAAGCTTTTATAACACTTTAGCTTGGTCCTTACCTCAAATACCACTACAAAAGCCAAACGTGCAGCAAACACATGCCAGTAGTGAGGACTCAAGCCATAAGGTTCATAATCTTGGGGACCATTTCTGAAAGTTAAAGATATAACTTAGATTCAAATTAGTTGAAGAGGCTACATACACACTTACCTATAACCCCTATACGAACAAGTATCTGGATCCTTTTCCGTTTTGGCACCCCATTCCTCTTTATAATCCGAGGTATTAAATGTCGATAGTGAATGTTCTATATAACCCACTAAAGTATTCGATTCCGAATAAACAAACTTATAAACCATGCGCGGTATAAAATCACTGGTATAAGCTATGACAAAAGCATTTGATACGACCGCGGTATAGGTAATAATGCGCAATATACCATACCAGGCGCCTATATCTTCGACACGTTCGGCTAAAGGTCTTCGTGATTGGGTAACCATTTTATAGGCATCCAAACGGATTTCAGCCACATTATTGAGTAAAGCGAATAGAGGAGCCAGGGGAAAGGCGGCCACAAATAAAGTAACAAAACCATATTGCAAAACTGGCAAGGAAAAAGATCATTAAAATTATAATAAAATAAGTGTAAAGCTTATTTTACTCCCACTTACTCATTTCCAAATACTCATCGAACAAAGCCAAACGCCCCGGATCTTGCATATGATAATCCTGCTCCCAGGCCATATGCAAATGCGAACGATCTTTAGTGGCCTGTTTATGCTTGCGTTGCCGCCACCAATTATAGAATTTCGGGAACAAATATTCCATAAAATTATTCCAACATTGTTTACCCACCATAATAATAGCCAACTGAATACATAATTCCGACAAACAACCCGCCGGATCACAAATATCATTTTTCAGTCGAAAAAATTCACTTCGACGAGCCTGATCATCACCCGGATAGTCAAAGAAACGTCCCTTAAAAAAGGCTATATATATCAAGGATGAATAGAAATTCATAAATTCAAAAAAGAATATCTTGAAAGTATAAGAATCCTCATATTCCGTTTGTGTTCGCGGATTCTCTAGATTCGTTAAACGTATGGCCAGACGATGATAGATCTGTTTAGAGAGAATTATTGAAGTTTCTATAGGTTTTATTTGATTTGTTAAACATTACCTTGGTCAATATCATTATAACCACCAAGTTAATAAGGGCCGCCGTCACCGTGGTAAATAATTTGGCATGTTCTTTAACAAAAAATCCTCCGCCTCCATAAATGATGGTTACCACCGATATACGATAGATAATGGTACCCAAAACAGCAGACAGAACTATGAATATCTGGGAAAAGAAATGAAAAGAGTTTAAGGAATTAGAATGGATTTGTGAGGTTTTAAGTTTTGGAAGTTTAATGTTATCAGAACAGGACCTTCTTTTCCCTACTCAACTGCAGTTTTTAAAATGGGGAACGTTTTAAAGAACTGAACTAGAACTGAACTAGAACTGAACTAGAACTGAACTAGAGCTGAACTAGAACTGAACTAGAACTGAACTAGAACTGAACTAGAACTGAACTAGAACTGAACTAGAACTGAACTAGAACTGAACTAGAACTGAACTAGAACTGAACTAGAACTGAACTAGAACTGAACTAGAACTGAACTAGAACTGAACTAGAACTGAACTAGAACTGAACTAGAACTGAACTATAACTGAACTAGAACTGAACTAGAACTGAACTAGAACTGAACTAGAACTGAACTAGAACTGACTAGAACTGAACTAGAACTGAACTAGAACTGAACTAGAACTGAACTAGAACTGAACTAACTAGAACTGAACTAGAACTGAACTAGAAATGAACTAGAACTGAACTAGAACTGAACTAGAACTGAACTAGAAACTGAACTAGAACTGAACTAGAAACTGAACTAGAACTGAACTAGAACTGAACTAGAACTAAGAACTGAACTAGAACTGAACTAGAACTGAACTAGAACTGAACTAGAACTGAACTAGAACTGAACTAGAACGAACTAAACTGAACTAGAACTGAACAGAACTGACTACTAGAACTGAACTAGAACTGAACTAGAACTGAACTAGAACTGAACTAGAACTGAACTAGAACTGAACTAGAACTGAACTAGAACTGAACTAGAACTGAACTAGAACTGAACTAGACTGAACTAGAACGAACTATAACTGAACTAGAACTGAACTAGAACTGAACTAGAACTGAACTAGATCTGAGCTAGAACTGAACTAGAACTGAACTAGAACTGAACTAGAACTGAACTAGAACTGACTAGAACTGAACTAGAACTGAACTAGAACTGAACTAGAACTGAACTAGAACTGAACTAGAACTGAACTAGAACTGAACTAGAACTGAACTAGAACTGAACTAGAACTGAACTAGAACTGAACTAGAACTGAACTAGAACGAACTAGAACTGAACTAGAACTGAACTAGAACTGAACTAGAACTGAACTAGAACTGAACTAGAACTGAACTAGAACTGAACTAGAACTGAACTAGAACTGAACTAGAACTGAACTAGAACTGAACTAGAACTGAACTAGAACTGAACTAGAACTGAACTAGAACTGAACTAGAACTGAACTAGAACTGAACTAGAACTGAACTAGAACTGAACTAGAACTGAACTATGAAACTGAACTAGAACTGAACTAGAACTGAACTAGAACTGAACTAGAACTGAACTAGAACTGAACTAGAACTGAACTAGAACTGAACTAGAACTGAACTAGAACTGACTAGAACTGACTAGAACTGAACTAGAACTGAACTAGAACTGAACTAGAACTGAACTAGAACTGAACTAGAACTGAACTAGAACTGAACTAGAACTGAACTAGAACTGAACTAGAACTGAACTAGAACTGAACTAGAACTGAACTAGAACTGAACTAGAACTGAACTAGAACTGAACTAGAACTGAACTAGAACTGAACTGGAACTAAAACTGAACTAGAGATTCGTTTGTTTAACATCGGAAAAGCCAAATATTCCGAATCGCATTCCACTGCTCAACTATAGTAGGTAACTGTGGGAATGGCCCTACAGCTTTGCAGATGACATTACTCTGATTTACTCACCATAAACAATACTGCACTGCCGGTAATAACAAATCGTATGGCTCGTGTCCAAGTCGACATATAAGGTTCCTTTTCTCTGGTAACCGGATTCATGCGAAAACTCGTGGCATTAGTCTCAAACTCCGGTCGATTTTCCTCATCAGATTCCACATTATGTAAATCCCATTCCCAAACAATAACCGACTGTTTACGTTTCCACAGCTCCAGAAAAGTGGTGGCTAAAGAAGAAATTGGAATTAAATGAAATCTAAGAAAAGTTGAGAGATAAATAACTTACCCCAAAATGACATGAATATGGCAAAAAACACCGTCGAAGGATTGTCAAATAAATAGGTGATTTTCGAGAAGAGACATGAATCGTGTAAATCCTGATAACTGCAGGCTTTATCACACAAAGGACATAGGGTAA